GCCATTTTCAAACACATTTCACAACACAACTTCAAAACAATTTCAAAACAACTTTCAAAACATTGAAATATCTTTTCAAAAAGACACACACCTTTGTATATATTCAAACAAGAATTATTACAAAGGTTGCTTAGACAAGGCATCTTTTTCAAAACATTTTCAAAACCATACACACAAAGCACCATTTCAAATAATTGAAAAGTAAAGGCAAGTGATCTAAAACAAGTAACTAAGAGCCCATGGAAAACCATGGATGAAAAGGGTGCTAGCACCTTCCTTTTTCATAATCTACCCCCCGAACCCAAGAAAACATCTCAAAGGTCTTTCCTTTGCTTTTTGACCTTTCCTTTGGATAAAATAAAAAGTCAGTGGCGACTCTTGCTAAACCGAACAAGTGCGAACACAAACGGAAAATCCCAAGTCAGTTCTCCCACCGTATCACAGGTATGAAGAAAGATGTGATTCGATTTGTGTATGCTTGTTTGGCTTGCCAGAAGCCAAAAGTTGAACATTAGAAACCTTCCGGTTTGATGCAACCTTTGGAAATTCTAGTGTGGAAATGGGATCGTATCTCAATGGACTTTGTAACTGGGTTACCGAATACATCGAGAGGCTTCGATGCCATTTGGGTGATCGTGGATAGAATGACGAAGTCGACACACTTTATACTGATTAAAATTAATTTTCCATCATCGAAGTTAGCAAAAATCTATATCAGAATAATAGTGAAGTTGCACGGGGTTCTGTTGAGTATAGTGTCTGACAGAGACCCGAGATTTACTTTTGGATTTTTGAAGAGCTTGTAGGAAGCTTTGGGTTATAGTTTGAAACTGAGTTATACTTATCATCCACAAACAGATGGACAATCAGAGAGGACTATCTAATCATTAGAATATTTGTCAAGGGCTTGTATAATGGAAACATGAGGTGTTTGGGATACCCATTTATCATTAATTGAATTCACATATAATACTAATTACCATTCTAGTATTGGAATGACACATTTTGAAGCGTCGTATGGTAAGAGGTGTATGACACCTCTGTGCTAGTATGAGTTGGGAAAAAGTATCGTACTTAGACCCAAAATTATACAACAGACTACTGAGACAATCAAGATGATCAGGGAGAAGATGAAAGCATCCCAGAGCAGGCAGGAAAACTATCATGATAATATAAGGAAAGAGTTAGAATTTAGTAAAGGCGACCATGTGTTTCTACGGGTCAATTCTGTGACAGGTGTTGGTCGTACACTGAAATCAAAGAAGCTGGATCCTCAGTTCATTATACCGTAACAGATTTCACTGAAAATTGGAGAAGTTGCATACAGAGTGACACTACCACACGAGCTTTCAAATTTATATGACGTGTCACAAATTTGGAAATACCTTTCTGATCAATCCCATATCATTCAAAGGGATGAGGTGCAGATTTAGGATAATCTTACCGTAGATACAATGTCAATAAGGATAAAGGATCACAAGATGAAACAGTTAAGAGGCAAGGACACTCCTTTGGTGAAAGTAGCATGTGGAGGAGGTGCTGGAGAAAGTGTGACATGGGAGTTGGAGAGCAAGATGCAATAGTCGTATCCAAAATTGTTCTCGTCAGGTACATTTTCGAGGACGAAAATATTCTAAGTGAGAGAGAGAGTTGTAACACCATATTTAAATATTTAGTTATTTTGTGTTTGATTGTGAAATTGCATTGGCCTTATTGTGGGAATTGGCATATTTAAGGGTGAGTGTGAGGACTTAGTATAATTATTAATCAGAATAAACCTTATAATAATAATATAATAAGTTATAGATGGAATATATTATTATCATTATTATTATTATTATTATTATTAGAATTATTACTATTATGATTAAGAAAAATAAAATATAATTAGGGAGAAAGAGGTAAGAGGGTTTAAAATCAGTTATCACTTAGAACGAGAGAAGAGGACAAGGCAGAGCTAGGGCAAGAGGATTATCCCACCATTGTTAGAGGAAGAAAAGCTTGGAATTAAGGTCAGGGGGAGAACATGTTCTTTAATTGTGATTAAAACATGAGAGGATAGTGATGATTCTTTTCCCTCTTAGGTTTTCATGGATATATTTCTTCTTGTATTGGGTTATCTCTGAATCCGTGTAATTGTTGTTGAATTCATGTTGGTATGATAATTGTGATATGAAATTCGTGAGTATTGTGAATGTTTGCTCTGTTTTACCATGTTTCAAATATGGAAAATATGGGTTTGTGGGAATTGATGAAATTCTGATTTAAACTATGAAAAACCTTAATAGAATGATAAATTAGAGAAGTAGAATAGATCCTTTAGGCTTACACTGGTATGAGTACTATTTTGGATCGAATTTGGGAGCTTAAAGGTGCTCCAATTGGTGAAAAATTGCACTGATGCGAAAACAATTTTTTTGGTGTTGTAGACTGCCCGTACGGGTAATGGGGAAGGCATTACGCGTACGAGGGGACTTCCTGGGGGAATTACGAGTACCATACGTGCCATGGCCAACATGCTCTTCTGGTGATACGCGTAACATACACGTAAGGAAGCGAGGCAATGCATGTATGGCGAGGCTATTACGCGTACGGGGTTTCTTTAGGAGATTTTGAGGAAAATCCCCTCTAGTCATACGCGTAAGGTAGGAGGAATTACACGTATGAGGCTTGGGAAATTTGGCCCTACACGTAAAGTACACAGGGGATGGGGCGAGGTAGTAAGGCATTACGCGTATGGGACATGGCCATACGTGTATGAGCAGGCCTGTGTGGAAATTTTCTAGTTTTCACGATTTCTTTCTTGATTTCGCGCGTAATATGAGTCCTCTTGGTTCGTAAGTCTAGTAGGACATAAATGGACATAAGGACACTAGTAATAATAGGAAAAACGGTAAAAGATATAATTTTGTGTGGATTTCTTTGTGATGTGTGATTATTGCCTAAGTGGATGAGATTGTTGTTGCATGGACAATCTTGGGCAATGATGGTATCTCTAGTGGGAATTAGGGTGAGTATATGACTCACATATGATCATTGTGGATCGTGTGTTATGTATTAACGATAATTGTATTATGCATAATTGTATGTCATGTATTTCATGTCGTGTCATGTGGAGATGAGCCTAGGTGAGAATCCACGATGGGTGCCTAGTCTCATCCAAAATCTGTGCGGGAGTCGAGTTAGAGATAAATTGTAGTTGATAGAAACATATACGACTTATCTGAATTTCTACGAGAATCGGGTTAAAAGGATGAACCATATGGATTATGTTGGTACCACATGTATGGTGTCAAGTTAGTTGAGTCACATTGCATATGTGTATGAATGAATATGAACAGAGCATAATGAATGTATCGTGGTATTACATGTATGTAATGATTGCGTGATTTGTGTGATTTATGTGATTACTACTCCTTAGCACGTGATTTTCACCGTGTAATTATTGAATGTAATTCTCACCCCTTTTTATTGTTGTGTATGTGCTCCTTGGGGAGTACAGATAACCAGGTATCTGAGTAGTGCTTGGAGCTTGTGTTGTTTGACCGAGTCTTAAGAGTCGCTCTGATACGTAACATGGGGAAAATTGAGATTTTTGTTTTGAATTGTTTTGTTTTCGTTAGTTACATATCTTATTTCCAGATTTATGTTGAACCACGAGTTTTGTGGAGTTTATTAATGTTGAGGCCTTGGAGCCAGTAAAGTGAACTAATTTGTAATTCCGCTGTTTGATTTTACTTTTGAGTAATAAAGATGAAGTGACTTGATACGTCATGATTTTTATGAGATGTAACATCCTACTTATGTGTACTCTTATTATTCCACAATTTATTTTATATCTAATTAATGGGGAAAGTAGGGCGTTACATACATCCCAAAAATTAGCTTTGACCGAGTGATAAAGTCGTATAGAAAGGGAACAAAGCAGATATATAGCATGTAAAGACGAAGAGTGCCCGAGATGAGGTATAACTCGACTAAAGGTTAAGGACGACAATCGTTGTATCCAGGCAGCAATCCATCTGCATTACCAACCCAGATATCGCACATAATCGGAGTCCATCTGCTTGTAGCCGATTACCAATCAGACCCATTAATGATTATGACGGTTGTCGGTGCATTAAACCCATCGTTATGCAGTCTTAAACACACACATACATGGTGACTACGACAATTATACAGTTTAGAAGGCAAAGAGTCACCTCTTGAATGAGACTCTTAATGGTGTAACAAGAAGACTATATAAAGGGGCTCCCGCTAGAGGGATAAGCAAGACACTCATCTTGGATCAATACGCATCACTAACGTAGCACCCAAATCCCCCAAATTATACAGAAATCTATCATTGTTGAGGTTTTTCTTGTTCCTATAAAAAAGCCACTCGTTTAGTGTTTTTCGCAATAATATATATATATATATATATATATATATATATATATATATATATATATATATATATATATATATATATATATATATATATATTGTAAAATTATTTTACATTGCCATATAATAAAAAGCCAACAATGTGTCTTATCATTAAAAGAATTTTAAAATTAAAGTGTAATTTATTCTGATATAAAATTGTGATTAGTTAAAAATGTAAAATTAATTTACACTGTCAATGAATCACTTCTTTTCTCTCTCACTATCTATCTATTACATTTTAATATATGAGCACTTATATTTATTAAAAAATCATCTTTCTTTCCTTTAATTTCACTCCACGAAAATATTCATATTACTTTCTACCCATTTCTCATCGAAAAGCGACGTTAGGTTTTGGGTTCCCTCCAAATTGCACCTCTCTTTGAAAATCCCTATTTTCCCTCCACATTTTTGAGCTCCGAAATCAAATCAAATTCGAATGGAAACCAAACTCAAATTTCAACTCCACTATATATCTTTATTCTTCTTCCCCTATCACAATCAAACAAAAGCCCTCTTCTCTTACACAAACCCTCTTCTTTCCAAATTCCTCAATTCCCATCATAATTTAAATGGATTCTTCTCACTCATCATCCGGCGAGATCCATCTCTTCGTGGGTCCCATGTTCGCCGGTAAAACGACATCGCTCCTCCGTCGTATTAAATCCGAGGTCGATAACGGCAGGTACTACTCAATTACTTTGAATACCCATTTCCTTTTAAATTGAATATTCTAGAAGAAATTTTACGACTGTTCCGATCTTTCTTCGCTGTTAATTGTCTCTTTTTTTTGTGAAGGAATGTGGCTATGTTAAAATCGAGCAAGGATAATAGATATGCGGTTGATTCTGTTGTGACGCATGATGGGATCAAATTTCCTTGCTGGGCTTTGCCAGATTTGATGTTGTTTAAAGATAAATTTGGTCACGAGGCTTATCAGAAGGTAAAATCAATCTTCTTTCAATTGTATACTTTCTTTTAGTAGTTTTGATTTCTCTTGCAATGCAAAGATTCAAATTTTATTCATACTGAATTATGGGCTATTTACATGTTTTAGGATAATCCCATCAATGACTATTGTAATTCTGATTTGTTGATCTGTGATCAGCATACATATAGCATTTTAAATTGTTGTGTATATCTTGTTTATGTTTTGATTCTTGATATTATGAAGAATTGTAGATACACATAATCATATAATTGATGCTGTTGTAATTATGATTGTGGTATTAACAAATCTTGTGTTGAGGCATTTTATACAAAATTTTGCCCCGGTTTTAAATGCCTCTGCTAGTGTATGTTGGGATTGATTCTCTTGTATAGTTGTATTAGTCGGTCTCATGGTTGAATATAAAATTTTCAAAAGAAAATTTATGATTGTGATGTTGATAGTGTTTGTTGTAAGTGTAAATTAGTAACATAGTGTATGGTTTGATGCAGAGTTATAGCTTTTGTTTATATAAGTTTGCTGATTTTTGATGTAGAGTTATAGCTTTTGTATATGTGAATTTGCTGAATGAGTTTCTGTTCTGGATGCAGTTGGATGTGATTGGTATAGACGAAGCTCAGTTTTTCGAGGATCTATATGATTTTTGCTGCAAGGCTGCAGATGAAGATGGTAAAATTGTTGTTGTTGCAGGTCTAGATGGTGATTACTTGAGGTATTATTTGGAGAAAAATCCTTAAAGGCTTTTACCATTTAGTTTAACTCAAATTATTGGTTTACAATTTGCCCTCTAATGGTGTGTGTCCTTTGAACTTCAGGAGAAGCTTTGGATCAGTGCTTCACATAATACCAATTGCTGATACTGTAACTAAGTTAACAGCTCGTTGTGAGCTCTGTGGTAAACGTGCCTTCTTTACTCTGAGGAAGACAGAAGAGAAACAAACTGAACTAATTGGTGGGGCTGATTTGTACATGCCGGTGTGTCGCCAGCACTATGTGAATGGTCAAGTTGTTGTGGAATCTACCAAGAGTGTCTTGGAATCTCAGAAAGTTAAAAGTGATTTCCTTCTTGAGGAAGCTACAGTTGCTTGATAGTAATATAGAGGAATTGGGTTTAACATGGTTACTTGATTCTGATGTGCGGTTCAACAGGCCATGTTGAATTATGTTTCACATCACATGACGTATTTGTTTTACCATTTACTCTTATAATTATGTATGTGTGGTATATAGTGGAGTTCATTTGAGCTCTTATTTTGTATGTTATACTTTACTTATATCAATAAAGAGCTCCTTGTTCACAATTTATGCCAAAAGGCTTTTGGTTCTTTGGAAAAATCTTTGACTGCTGAATCCCCATTATTGTGTATATTCTTATTTTGTAGTATTGATCTCCTCTTTCAAGTCAGGAAACATCAAGCATTAGTAGTACTGTTCTGTAGAAACTATAAATTCCTCACAGTAAAAACACATCAATTCTTAGAACAACTACTTTCAAACAAATTTAAACCTTTAAAGCATTTGTAGTACAACTAATAGAACATTCTTTGTATCATTTTGTGGCTTTAAATCTATTTAAACAATGTACAGCAATCACTAAGAGCTTGAGAATTAAGCAATCAATAATAAGTTTCAAGGATCGGAAATTCTTAAAAAGAACCTCGTCTTGGATAACACTCTACCATAATTTAATATCATGATGACTTTTGTGAAGACTCCATAAAATAAAACTTTAAGTAATACTTTGAAAATTGGACAATTGATCAACAACGGTGAAAACAACTTTACAATATCAATTGCATTCAAAATAACACAGAAGTGACAAAAGAAGGATGTAGTGAGTGTATGCATCAAACAATAGGGGTGAAATGGTGAGCTAATAATGAGAGATTGAAGAAATAAAACAAAATATAAAAGTTCAATTAATTACAATCCTGCCATTAATGAAAACTGTGAGTTTTCCGTGCATTTTCTTAACTCATTTGACAATTAAAAAGCAAAACTGAAAACAAAAACATCTATAAACTGTTTTAGTTTTTTTGATTTTAAAACTGAAAAGTTGAAATTAGTTTTTAAAAACTGTTTTAAAAAACAAATCTATCAAACTAGTTTTTAAATTTTAAATTTTTGAAAAGCAAAAAACAGTTTTCGAAAAGTATTTCAAACGAGTTCCCAGTCTCATTTTTTATTTATTATAAGTAACAATTATAAAAGGAATTTTTTTTTAATTATAAAACATAGTTAAACAAAAATATTCCTACTCTCTTTTAAACCTTCAATACATTGCCGTTTTTTAAATTTTCTTCTTCTCTAGTCTTCTTTTTCTTATATTTTCTTCCTTCATAGACATAAACTTGGAAGCATGTATAGGTAATTAAGACGGTTTTGAGAGCTTTGAATTTGTGTCGGATAGATATTGTAATAGGGTGGGTCGGAGACGATTTTTATCTCTTCCAAATTCAAATTCGAATATCTAATTATTTCCCGTTCTCCACCCTAAATCCAAACGAGAATGGAGATTTAAAACCCAAATCTGTGTCAAACGGATTCAGGTTGGGTTTTAGTATCTCCGCCCAGTCACCATCTATTTAGTAAAATTAATTTTTTTAATAAAAATATTTATTTTTTCTAAAATCAAATTACATTATAAATAATAAAATAAAACAATCTCAAAAAATTCTATACATATATTTTAAATAATAAATACAAATCAAATTATCAAACATTAATCACATATTTAATATTCTAAATCATCAAAAATAAATTTATAATCGAGGAAAATCCAAACCCAATTAAAGTGGGTTTTCCCCGTCAACTCCGGAGCGAGTTCGGGTGGGTACTCACAGGTACGAGTTTTGTTGTCATGCCTAGTGCCGGGTCTTGATATTAATTATCACAAAAACAAGTTGATTGAAATCAATACTAGTAACAATTTCTTGGAAGCTGCTTCTTATTTCCTTTCTTGCAAGGTGAAAGATAGTAATTTTACTTTCCTTGGAATTTCGATTGATTTTAACCTAAGATTGTGGTTGTCTTGGGTCCCTCTTTTGACTAAGATGAAGAATAGGTTGTCGGGTTGGAAAATCACTTCCTCAATCTTGGAGGTAGAATCACTCTTTTGAAGTATATTTTATGTTCCTTAACCATTTTCACTATGTCTTTTTACAATATGCCTTTGAAAGTAATTAAAGAGTTTACGAGAATCCAAAGTAGTTTCTTATGGGGTGGTGTGGAGGAAGAAAAGAAGATTCATTGAGTTAGTTAGAGGGATGTGTGCTTACCTTTTGAGTATGGGGGATTAGGGATAACAAATATTTTGGAGTTTAGTTTAGCTCTTCTTAACAAGTGGAGATGAAGAGTCCTTCAAGGCAACGACTCTCTTTGGTACAATTTATTGAGAGCTCGTTATGGTGATATTTCTACTCAAGTTTTATGTGGAGGTGAACCTAATTATTACTCTTCTTCATCTTTTTCTTCTTGGTGGAGGAATATTATTAAAGTGGGCAATTTGTCCACTATTGATCCTATTATTTCTAATTGTAGTTTTACCATTTGCAATGGGTTTTCTACTCCTTTTTGGGAAGTTAGGTGGTTAGAAAATAACACCTTGATGGAGACTTTTTCGAGTCTTTATGCGGCGTCTTGTTTGAAGCGGGTTTCAGTGGCGCGTATGGAGCGATGCGAGGTGGTCTTGGGGGATCTGGGTTTATCTGCAGCGGTTGGAAATGATCCGACTTTTTTGCCTGATTTTTGCTCTTTAATGGGGCAGTTGGAGGAATTTGGTGGTATGTCCGATGAGAAGGATTCCGTTATTTGGAATCTTGACTCGAAAGTGGGATTTTCGATAGCTTTCTTATACGTTCAATATGCAAATCTTCGTGTTCCTTTTGGTTCTTCTAATAGTGGCTTTGGGTTTGGTTTGGAAATCAAAAGCGCCTTTCAATATCAAGGCTTTTGGTTGGAGGCTTTTTGTTAATAGACTTCCAACAGAGGATCTTTTGTTGTATAGAGGTATTAACTTCTGTTTAGATAATTTAAAGTGTGTTTTATGTAGTATAGTAATGAAAGATAGGGACCATTCTTTTTTTAATTGTTCGGTGGTTAAGAATGTGTGGAGAGAGATAGCTATTTGGGTCGGTAAATCGGGTTTAGAGGAGGAAGAATGCCTTTCGAATTTTATGGGATGATACTCATTTTGTCGTGTATACAAGGTAAAAGAAGGAAAACTGGGAGTTGTTTGGTTAGCTACCTCTTGGATCATTTGGTTGGTAAGGAATGTGATTTGTTTCCGGAATGAGGTTTAGAATTTTAACAATACGGTGTGGTCTATTAAAGAGTTGGTTTGGAAATTATCTTTTTTTGGAGATATTACTCACTCCAATTGTAGCTTTTATGATTTTAGCAAAGATCCTTTGTATTTTTTTCATAGTTATAATTGGTTAGTAATCTCTTTTGTGGGGTTGTTCCCCGTTTCTTGTGTAAACAAGTTAGAGAACCCTTAATTATCCCTTATATTTTATCTTGATTACACAAAAAAAACACAAATATATGATTTCAAGATTATGACTACTAATATTCAATCCACAGTTGTTGTTTAAGAAAATTTTCACTTGCTTTGTATTTTGTGGTCTTCTAAGTGTTAACTATAGCACATAAGACATACTAATGAGTATGGGTCACAAACGAGATGCCCATTCTGTTTAGATCAGTCATGCAAAAGTCTAATAAAAATGGAGCGGGGAGAGGCGAACTTTGTTGAGGGTGTGAGCTGAAAATTTTGCCCTGTCCCACATAAAAAAAGTGCAGGGGTGAAACGGACATTGCACTTTTTAAGCTTAAAAATTGTAAAAAAAATTATGTTAATGTTTGTGTCATCAATAATCCGTAAAAAAATAGGACGGAGCGGAACAAACATATTAGAGGATACGAACTTAAAACTTCGACTCATTCCACAAAGAAATGCGGGCAAAACGGACAATATTAAAAGGACCAGAATCTTTTTTTGACATCCCTACTAATGATATAATATGGTGTATTGAGACTATCTCATGGTGGGTGTATATTTTGATATAAAAATATTAGGCGTATACGCATTCACGTAACATTTAAATTCTGGAAAATTTATGTGACACAATTTATATGTTATTATGCAAAATATGAAAAATATGAATGTTTACACGATACATTAAATACATTAAACAAACTTACATACATGTTAGATTTTAAAGAAACATACGTAAACAAAATTCACATACAATTTGAGGTGCAGAAAAACAAAACATACAAATCGTTCATAATTTTTTTAATAAAATTTGTTCACCACATGTTTGTAAAAGAAGGAAATAAAAGCTAAGATTGAAATGTAAAAATATAAATTTGAAAAATTAATATGACATCACATACTATTTTAATATTAGAGTTAAATAAATTTGTGATTCTTTTATTAAATACTTTAAATTTCGTCTTTAATTCCTAAAAATATTTCTTTTAAATATTTGTTCTGGGAAGTCTTACATCCATATTTTCGGGGAGTAGATTGTCTCTATTAAATTTACCATTCAGTGAAGTCTATGCCACACAATAAATTATTAAAACCACCAAAAAATTAGAAAGTGGAATTTGAATGGTGGAGATTTCCACTGCTCCCTGCAGTGAAATTTCCCTCAGAGGCAATCCTTTCCCATACTTTTGAACGTTCTAAGTAATTTTTGTTAATTAAAGTTGATATGGAGAGTCAATATTCTTTTTTGACCCGTTGAACATTGACTATGCATATATTTTGATTTCAGTTTACAATATATTAAGTACAACTTGTATTTTATTATTTAACAATTAATTAAAATATAGATAATTGAAAGATAAACTAAAACTTCCTTCATCAAATCATTCTCAACCAAAAACCCTAATATTTACTCCTCTCTTAGCTCGGAGGAACTATAATCATAAACACTCAAATTAATTCTCATTAAAAACCTTTAATGAATTGAATGCTAAAGCCTTAATTTATGTTAAAAGTTGTGTACGTTAAAAGCATTGAAAGTTATAATTTACGATGGTCCTTTAAGTTTAGGGGCGGTAAAACTGGCCGCCCG